TTGGGGGGCAACTCAGGCAATGCTTCCAACCTAGAAGCTGCCTTTAAAAACAGATGACCTTTTTCAAAAACACGCACTGCCCCATTACGTATGTTCTTAGTGAGAGCTGCTTCATCAGTGTTCCTCCTGATTGGAAGCGATGCTGCCAGGGAGAAACAAATCCAGGGAAATCCAGGAGAAACAGGGGAAAGAAATTGGTCACCTCACAGAGACGCCCCCCACACCAGCCCGTGCCATCAGGATCGGCCAGGCTGGGCTCCTGCACAGAAAAGGCTTGCCGACCTGCGGCCAGGACTCTGAGACGCGGTGACCGAGGCAAAGACACCACTGAATCCCACCACACCCCACCCTGGGGTGTGGGACGTCCGGCCAGAGCGCCCACTGTGTGCCAGGCTCTCCTGCGTGGGCGGCGGCGGTGGTCCTGAGCTGCAGGTGGGGCAGCGAGGCACATTCACCAACCCTCCTTTTAAAGCTTCTTGGCTTGTTTCACTAAAAAGTCCGTTCTCCCCAAACGACAGAGCAGACATAAAGCCAGGCTGCAGAGGCTCCGTGCCAGCTTCCTGGGGCCCCCTTACCCCCCACTCAGCTTCTGGGAGTGTGGCTGGCAGCGAGGCCCCAGGGGCATCTGAGGGGGCACGTCTCCAGACGAACCGGCACCAGCAGGCTAAGAACCGAGCACTGCCCGCCCTCTGAGGGGACTCGGGGTGTGGACAGGCGGCCCCATGGGCGGGTCAACATCCCGCCAGGCAGGGCGCCACAGGGCACCCGCGGGCTCTCCCCGCGCCCCTGCACCGGCGCTGCCGTCCTGGCAGGGGTCCTCCCAGACGAGACTCTGGGAGCAGGCAAGGCGATCACCAGAGCCGTCAGCTTCTCCCCCCGCTGCATTCTAACGCCTCCCTGGAGTACTCTCACTGCCCACAAGGCAGCACAAGCTGGCACGGGTGCACACACTCACAGCCTCCATGTGCGTGCACTGTTCCCGGCCGCGACGTGGTGGCGGGGCTGCGCCTGGCCCTGGGGTGGGGGCCGCTGGACACAGGCAGGCGGCCGCCCGGATCGGCAGGAACGGGGCTGAGCCCGGCCCGATAGCCAAGGCGGGCCTTCCGCTCCCGTCCTCTGACGAGACCCCCGGCAGAGAAACGAGGGCCTGGCCGGCACTGGCTGTGTGCTCACCGTGGGGCCCCAGGGCTGCCTCCGGAACCAGGGCCCCACAGCCCCAGGGTGACCAGGAGCCGGCTGCTGCAGGCACAGACAGCGAGTGTGTGTGGGCTGCAAGACTGTGCACACACATGCACACACTTGTAAAGCAGGGAACGCACACAGAGTGAGGCCCGAGAAGCAACGAATGAGCACGCGGGCGTCGGGGCGCACTGCGTCCCCTCCGGCTGTTTCTCATCCTGACTGTGCCTCCCACTGACATGACGCACCGCCTGCAGCCTGGGCTGCGTCCAAGGCTACCCCAAGCTCCAGCCAACAGCCCGTCCACCCGGCCTGGCTGCCCCCACCACCGTCCACAGCCCTGACTCGCCCCCATCCCTCCTGCCATCCAGCTGCTCGCCCGGAGGTCACACTCTGACGCCACAGGAGCCACGCTCCGGGAGAACCCCCAGGGCCGCCTCCTGGCCCTCTCGGCCCGCTGCACCTGCGCCTTCCTGCCCGAGGCCTGCCTCCTCCCCTGTCCCACCATCCTGGGGCAGGACCAGGTCTCCTCCACCTCCAACGCCTGCCCCGTGCCGCCCACGCTCCGCAGCAGCGCTGGCCTGGACCCTCAGCACTGTCTCCCTCTCCACCTTCAGCCAGTTCCAAGAGCTGGCTGCGGGCATCCGTCTGCCCCCCGACACTCAGCGCCAGCTCTCGAGGGCAGGGTCCCCGGGCTCTGTTCGCGGTTCACCCCAGCACCAACCACAACAGGTGGTTCAGGAAGACTGGCCGAGCAAAGAACGACGTGGGCACTCGACGTCAGTCACCCCAACTCACAAGGACCCTGCAGGGAGGTCAGATCCCCAGATGAGACGGGAGGCTGCGCCACGGATCCGCGCCGGTCACGCGCCGAGTCCCAGGCTGCACGGCCTCGCCCTCCTGCTGTCACAGACCCTGCAGGCAGGCTGTCCTCCAGCCCCAGGCCCTGAAGGGCCATCAGCTCAAGCCCTCGCTTCCGGAATGAACGGCTCCAGGCCACCCACCTGCCCCCTGAAAAACCCCCTCCCCCCAGAGCCGGTTCCCACACGGAGGCTCTCCACCCTAAAGCCCGGCCCTGGGGCTCACGTGGGTAAGAGGACCACCCGGGTGACCCTGCAGCTGGCCTCCCTCCCCCACATCACAGGCTGAACATCCGGTGACAGGGCCGTGTGCCGTGCGTGCAGAGGACCTCGGGGCCTGGCTGCCACCAGGCGGTCACCCATGGGCCTCGGAGGCGCAGGTCCTGCCGGCGGCCAAGTCACACTCCCATTCACAGACACGCGTGACCACGGAAGCCTCAAAGGGTCGTTTCCCTGAGCTTCAAAAAAGGCGGCCTTTGCACGGGAAAAGACTGGGTCGACGCTGAGAGCAGAGTGAGCCATTATCTGTTCGCTGCCCGTCCGCAGGCTCCAGACGGAGCCCCAGCAAACACAGCCGCGCAGCCTGAGGCCAGAGGGACAATGCGGCCAGAGGTACTTCCGTGGGCATCGCCCAGGTCAGCACTTTGCGCCTCCAATGTTGGCAAATATTTGCCACTTACGTCGCGAATGTGATGTGAAGATAATACTTCCCACTGTCTCCCAAAGCTCTCTAACTGCCTTACAAAAACAGGCAATTTACTGGCTGTGTTTTCTCCTGCCACCAAATACAAATCCCATGACTGTTTAACTTTGAAAGCTTTAGTTTTCGCCTTTTGGTGTGAGACTTCATACTTACATAGAATTTTAAGGAAAAGCAAGGAAAAAAACAGAATCCCACAACCAAACAGAAGAATCCGGTTTCTTTTAACCTTTCACTTTATCCATACGTACTCACTTGCCCACACATCTTGAAAACTTCATTTTTAAGTATGATTTTAATTTCCCAAGTTACTCTGATGACAAAGTCCACAGGAGATTCTAACTGGGGGCTCGGGTCCTGACCCAGAGCTGCAGTTCCCACCGGGCAATCTAGTTTTCACAAGTGATTCCCGTGCCGCCTAGGACTAGATCAGGAGGTGTCTGGTGAGAGGTGATCAGACGGGGCTCCGCTGAGCCAGGACAAACCAGCACCCCGGCCTCCGGCCGTGATCACCAAGGTGCTAAACAATTCACCCACAGCCGGCTCAGAGCTCACCAGCGGGACATGACATATGCCCAGGGGCCTTGCTCGTCCCAGAGCACATCTCGAGCTCCGGAGGAGCATGCCAGCTCCCAAGACAGGGACGTGGCGCCCGCACGCCACGCGGGACCCCGGGGCGGGTCCTGGACTAGGAGGGAGGCGTGAGCGTGTGCCCGTCACTGAGATGAGCATCGTCGGAACTGCGCATGGGCTGAGCCCGGGACGATGGGGCCACGGCGATGCCCAGAGGAGGCCTTTGTCCTCAGGAGCGGATGAGGTCTTGAGGAGCGGAGGGTGCGACTTCTCCAAGTGACTCAGAGGGTTGAGGAAAAGCACGAACAGACGTGAGAACGCACGCGGAGAAGGAACCAGGCGGAAGGTGAACGGCCGGTACGGCCGGGCAGAGCACAGGGAGGCACGAGTACCGGCCCCGCGCCTTTCCCGTGCATTTGAAGTCACATCAGAACAAGAAGCCTAACACAGATGGCAAGCTGGACCTCTCAGGACGGCGACACCTGGAACCGTGCGAAGGTGGAGGCGGGGAAGGTGAGCTGGAAAAGGAGAAAGGCTCTTCTTCCCGCTGCCCCCTCTGTGCTGTGAAACTGTCACGTGTGAGCCCAGAAAAGAAACATAAGTGAACTAAGGAGGGCAGCTGGACGGGAGCAGCACCTCCGGGTCCACGGGACCTTCCCGAAGCCGCCCCCCTCCAGGCCCCGGCCCCAGGAAGGAGGCTGCTCAGCTCCAGCTTCACAGGCACGGCCCGGGCGGCACCTCCATCCGCGGGCCTCACGCGCCACCTGCTGGCTGCGCAGGGCACTGCCCGCCACGGCACCCAGCCTTCAGCGTGACTTTGAGCTACTGGGCCCGCAGCCACCTCGTCCTCCCAGGAGCTCCAGCATCCGCGAAGTGCCCCGCGCCCAGGGGCACCTGGCAGGCGCCACACACAGACGTGGAAGCACCTCCTGTGCGTGGAACTCCAGCAGGACCGGACAGCAGGTCCGCAGGGCCCAGCTGCGCCACAAGAAGCTCGGCGGGACTGTCTGGCCCCCCAGCCAAGGCCAGCCTTGACCCCCGGCCCCCGGCTCACTCAAAAACCAGTCCCACTCCACGCTGACCCGCTGCCCCCGTCAGACGGTGCACAGCCAGCCATCCCAAGCAGGTCTCAGTCACCGGCCCTGGTCACCACCACGACCACCACGAAGCACAAGGAAGGACATCCAGCCGGCCGGGCAGCCTCCCACGGCAGCACTAAGGAGCCAGGAGAGCGCGTTAGGAAAATCATCAAAGAATGCTCATCACCCCCAACTAAAAATAAGTTTAAAAAAAAAACAATGTACGATTATCTTACAATTAAAAGTAAAAAAATTTTTTTAAATGCTCCTCAAATTGCACTGGTAGCACATTAATAAACACGTCCAGAGTAAACTTTCAGGACAGGCAGCTCTCCTCCTAGTGACTTACCGGCATGACACACAACAGATCGATTTCTGACCTGGTGAATTACATAGGTAACCTGTGCACTGAGGGGGAGCAGGTCGTGCCTTTCAAATCCTGCAGATTCTGCCTCCTGCAGAAATGAGCACAGCCTAGAGTGGCCAAGCCCACAGTGACTCACCCCCGGGGACTCACCCGCAAGACTCATCACAGGGACTCACCCTCGGGACTCACCTCCAGGACTCACCCCGGGGACTCGACCACAGGGACTCACCAGGGGGACTCACCGAGGTCTGTGTTGGGGCCCGCAAGCAGGTGCTTGAACTTGTCCAGCCGAGAGGCCTCTCTTTCACTTAAGGCCGAGCTGCTGAGGGCACTGGGTTCGGGCGCCCCGCCCAGTGCCACCGTGGCCGCGTGCGGGAGAGACTGGGACCTCTGCAGAGGGACGGCGTCGCTGGCGCTTCCTGTGGGGGGTGGGGGGGGAAGAGAGGTGAGGTCCCGGGGCTCAGCTCACAGCCAGGTGCCCACCAGGAGGCCTGGTGCCCGCCCGCTGCAGCCCCGCCCCACCCTCACGGAGCAGCACAGAGCTGCCTGCTCGAGGCAGAGCCGGCTCCCATGCAGAGCCCACTGCCCTCCTGGTCACTCCTCAGGGAAACAGACGCGCCAGGAGGGGCAAAACAGGGAGGAGCAGAAAACCACAGCGCACGTCGGGGTCAGCAGCCAGGGCTCCCCAGAGGGCCCGCCCAGGCGACATGCCAGAGGATCGGTGGGTGCAGGGCTGGGGCAGCGTGCCTGCATGGGTCACCCAGGCCTGAGAACGCAGGGAGGCTACCAAGGCCCACGGCAAGGGCACCGTGACTTTCTGAACATCCCAGGCCTCCCCCAGCCCAGGAGGGAGGCCAGGCCGGGACCAGCACCCAGAGAAAGCAAAGGAAGCCAAGTGCCCACGCAGGTGGGCTGAGGGGCCACCGGCGCGCACCCAGCCGCTGAGGCAACGTGAGACAGCGTGTGGCACCCAGGCCCGGGCAGGGGCAGGGGCAGGAGCAGGAGCCCTCGGGTCACGGGACAGAGGGCCCGCAGGGACAGCGGGGGACCCACGGCACGACGCCCCGAGCGGCTGCAGACCCGCAGACCTGCGTCCCCACGAGCGACCACGACGTCCAGAGCGGGAGGCTAGAGTGAGAGCTAAACTCCAGGAAACAGGGCAAGGGACACACGACGTGGAGTGAACGTGCCGATGTCGACTTCCAGCAGCAGCTGCCTGACAGAGCAGGGACACGGCTCCCTCCCCGCGCAGAGCAGAGCCTTCACCCCACACGCACTCCCGTGGGGGCCCCGAGGCTACCGAGGAGCAAGACGACCCTCGCCTCCGGGCAGAATCGGCCCAGCTAAGCTTCCAGAGCGCCTGGGAAAGTGGGCACAGTGGGGAGGGTGAGGGCGCCTCCTCGCCTGGGGCTGCCCTCGCCTGCAGGAGCCCCTGCACTGGCCTCCTCTCAGGGAGGAGGGGCTGGATCTGGGGGGGCGGGGAGGTGGGCAGAGATGGGGGGACCAGAGGCCCCCCTCCAGGGGAACGCCCCTCCCCCTGCACCTCGAGATTCTCCAGGAGAAGGTGTCGCAGCAAATACAGGTCCACGAGACACCGCGGATAAACGTGCTCAGTCTTACTTACCTCAACCTCAGAGACACCCCGTGTGACTTCACTCAGACACTAAGGGCCCACGCACCCCTGAGCCGAGCTCTGAGGCAGGATCTGGGAGATCAGGCGAGAGCAACAAGCCCCCGAGGAACAGCAAGACCTCCAGCCAGGCCCCCCATCACTGTGAGCAGAAAACCCACCACCGCCCCACCTCCAGGGTCCCCGAGGGCACGAGTCCACTGCCACCTCTGGTGTCCACGCAAGACCCGCTCACAGCGGGGCCACGGGCAGCCGCAGGGACAGCCCCGCCTGGCCCAAGCCCACCCAGCCCATCCCGGCCCATGACACGCTTTGCCACTAACCCAGCGATGCCCCAAGTCAGGCAGAGTGCCTCTGACTTCAGCTACGAAGGCAAGAGACGTTTATGAAGAGAGTCAGGGCAGCCGGAAAGTGGAGTGCTGGCCCAGAAGCCAGTGGACGAGCCCACCATCCGCCTCCACCGAGCTGGGAGGCGGCCCTCCCCAGGGCTGGAGGCCCGAGGCGCTGGCAGCAGGGAGGCCCTGCGGGCGCCGTGCAGGGTGATGCGCCCACAGCGGGCCTGCTGGGCTCCCGACGGACGCTGGAGAAGCCGTGCTCGCCTGCGGTGCCCCCACAGAGGACTGCTCCAGGGCAGAATTCCAAACCGCCGCTCACAGGAGCAAAGAAGTCAAACGGACCTCGCGGGTCTCACCCAAGCAGAGAAGGCCCCGCCAGCCCAGCAGGAGAGTGTGGCTGCCGTGCCACATGGGCAGCAGGTCCTAAAGACGGCTTGGGTTACATCAGCGGCGTCTACGCAACTGCGCAGGACGCCCAGGAGAAACCACGGGGACTGGGGCGTGGTCCCTGCCGCCAAGGGTCGAAGAGTTGTGGCCTCAGCAGAGCCCACCACAGGAGGAACCCAGGGCCTGGGAGTGCATGCCCTGCCCAGGCGCATGGGATGCGATCAGAGTGCCCGTCATGAGCCACAGGAATCCTGCATCAACCTGGAAAGGCTCAAACTGGGTGCCCTTTGGTTTTTAGGCTCAAATACGTCAAAGTTCACTTCGTGTCAAAGAAAAATAGTTTAGATTCCAATGTGAAAACTTGTCAAATGAAATAACTCATGCTATTCCACAAAGAAGATGGTAACGCTGCAGAAGTTAATTCCTGGAATGTGTTTTTGAAACCTAGAGCTGAGTATGAAACCTAATTCTGCCCCAGCCAGCAGGCTGCCTCAGGCTGCGCTGATGACTTCATTTTCTTCTCTGTAAACACGGGGTGAGCCCCCGAGCCCCCAGAGATCTCGGGGGGAGGGACCGTGCGGGCTGTGGCTACACTGCTGGCCCCACACCCCCACAGTCACCCCTTACCTGACACCGCAGACCCCACACCCCCATAGTCACCCCTTACCTGACACCGCAGACCCCACACCCCCAGTCACCCCTTACCTGACACCGCAGACCCCACACCCCCAGTCACCCCTTACCTGACACTGCAGACCCCACACCCCCCATGCTCACCCCTTACCTGCCTAACACCGCAGACCCCCCACCCCCACTCACCCCTTACCCGACACCGCAGACCCCACACCCCCACTCTCACCCCTTACCTGACACTGCAGACCCCACACCCCCCATGCTCACCCCTTACCTGCCTAACACCACAGACCCCACACCCCCAGTCACCCCTTACCTGACACCACAGACCCCACACCCCCAGTCACCCCTTACCTGACACCGCAGACCCCACACCCCCACAGTCACCCCTTCCCTGACACCGCAGACCCCACACCCCCACAGTCACCCCTTACCTCCCCGACAGCGCAGACCCCACACTCCCACAGTCACCCCGTATCTGCCTGACACCACAGACCCCACACCCCCAGTCACCCCTTACCTGACACCACAGACCCCACACCCCCAGTCACCCCTTACCTGACACCACAGACCCCACACCCCCAGTCACCCCTTACCTGACACCACAGACCCCACACCCCCAGTCACCCCTTACCTGACACCACAGACCCCACACCCCCAGTCACCCCTTACCTGACACCACAGACCCCACACCCCCAGTCACCCCTTACCTGACACCACAGACCCCACACCCCCAGTCACCCCTTACCTGACACCACAGACCCCACACCCCCAGTCACCCCTTACCTGACACCACAGACCCCACACCCCCAGTCACCCCTTACCTGACACCACAGACCCCACACCCCCAGTCACCCCTTACCTGACACCACAGACCCCACACCCCCAGTCACCCCTTACCTGACACCACAGACCCCACACCCCCAGTCACCCCTTACCTGACACCACAGACCCCACACCCCCAGTCACCCCTTACCTGACACCACAGACCCCACACCCCCAGTCACCCCTTACCTGACACCACAGACCCCACACCCCCAGTCACCCCTTACCTGACACCACAGACCCCACACCCCCAGTCACCCCTTACCTGACACCACAGACCCCACACCCCCAGTCACCCCTTACCTGACACCACAGACCCCACACCCCCAGTCACCCCTTACCTGACACCACAGACCCCACACCCCCAGTCACCCCTTACCTGACACTGCAGACCCCACACCCCCACAGTCACCCCTTACCTGCCTGACACTGCCGGCCCCAGGGAACACTCTGACCACTGGATTCAGGATCTCAGCCCACATCCCACCCTGCTCTGGGGCCGCCCCACCTGTTCTGACCCTGGCACCTGCCGCCTTCCAGCACCCGGGCCTCCTCACATGTCACGCGAAGGCTGCTGTCCATCCCCTCGCCAGAACGGACGCTCCAGGCGACAAGGGCTCCCCGGGGCACCCACGCCCTAAGAACGCGGCCTGAGCCGTCACAGGTTAAACAGCCGTGTTGTCTGATGTCTCAGCCCCTCCAGCACAAAGAGAGTGAAAGTGACAAAGAGCGCCAGGCACATGGACGGGAGACACGGGCAAGAGCTAACCTCACAGACTTTAGAATCGGAACCTGGCAATTCCAGAGAGCACCCACCCTGCAGACGCTGAGCCCACGTGTCGGGGACCTGGGGGGGGATCGTCGGAACTGGCCGGGAGGAGATCCAGCCCTGAACACGAGGCTGGACCAGCCCCTGGGCTGGAAATGCCCCGAGGGCGTCCTGAGAAGGGCGGGGTCCCCCAGCGGCCCACAGAAGCTCCCGCCTGGCCACGCCGTCTGGAGGGAGCTGCACTCAGCCAGGAGGACGAGAGGAAGCGCAGCTGCCTCTGCTGACCAGGAGCCCCGCGGCTACTGGACCTCCGAGCCCCCGAGGGCTGGGACCGTCCCTTCCCCTCCCCAGGGAGAGGGCTCCAGGCCTCCTTCCGAAGCCCGCCCGCTCTCCCCCGGCCCCCACCTCCAGGACAGGCCGCGTGGCTCTCACTGCCGGACTTCACCAGCCGCAGGTCACCGCCGGGGGCCTCGGGGGGCTCTGCCAAGGGCTCCACTGAGGGCTCCGGGGCCCCGGGTGGCTGGGGGCACGCCTGCCGCTGGCTGTGGTTGCGCAGGACGCGGTGGGCCGTCTCCATGACGACCGCGGTGTTGAGGCTCTCAGCCGCCATGGCCAGGAGCTCGTCATCGTCTTCGCCGGCGTCCCAGGCGTCACTGGTGTTGCTCTCAAACTCCTGGAAGGTGCTGACTCGCTTGGCCTTGACCGGCGTGGTGGGCGCCTTGGGCGTGGCCTTGAGCAAGCTGCAAAGCAAAAGCGGTCTGTACTCGCACCCTGGAGGCTGAGAGTGGTCACCCCGGGACGGTTCAGACCAGCCCCCGGGGGGACAGGTTCACAAGAGAGCTGAGAGTGAAGTGGAAGAGCAAATGCGGCCCGAGGCATCCAGGGTGAGACGGAGCTCCGGGACTGCAGGGGTCAGGAAGGAGAAGAGGCTTTTCGGGACAGTCACGCTGCCTCTGCCCCGCAGAGCAACGTCTGAGGACATGCAGCAACGCCCCGCGCCCGCAAACCTCTCGCCCCAACACCTTCGCAGACCTCCAGAGGCAGCAGCCGGGGCTGCGGGCGGGGGAGACTGTTCGCAGGACACGGGCCCTCGGCAGGCGGGTCTGGATACGGGACAATTTGAAGGATCCCGCACAGCATGTCAGCACGCAACACGTGCTCCAAGTGTCGGGAGCTTGTCCTCACACGCCCAAATTGCTTGATTCGTGCTGGCTGAGTGAAGGGCACTCTCCTCCCTGCTGGGAATTCCAGGGAGCTGGGGGGTCACCACACCCCCCAGGCCCAGCCTGAGAAGAGCCTCACGCAGCCCGAGAGGTCACTTACGTGCCGTGGACCAGGGGGTCGAAGGGCGGGTGCTGAGCGCCGTACACGTGCTGGATGCTGTTCAGAAAGGAAGGGGATAAATTAGCTTCTCCCGGTGTTCACAGGGCCCCAGGGATGCAGGGAGCAGGCCAGCTCCTCAAACCGGCGCCAGAGGGAGCAACCCCGGCCACCACAGAGTCCCCAGGGCCCGTCGGGAAGGCGGAATGACGCCGGACAAGGCCACCCCCACACACACGCAGGGCATGCAACCTCCCGGCAAACGGGCCTCAGTAAGGCACCCACGGCCCCAAGGGCGTCACCACAGGGCCTGGGGCATCGGCCAGCCTCTGCTCCTGGCCTAAAAGACTGACCCAGACACAGCCCTCGGGAAGCTCTCATCCGGCACCACTCTGCCCAGAGACGGAATACAGAATTACAAACACAANCACAGGGCCTGGGGCATCGGCCAGCCTCTGCTCCTGGCCTAAAAGACTGACCCAGACACAGCCCTCGGGAAGCTCTCATCCGGCACCACTCTGCCCAGAGACGGAATACAGAATTACAAACACAATTTTGTTAAAAGACTACGTGGTTTCATTATGAAGTCTGTGCTCATCAGAGCAGATCTGGAAAAAAAGACGGGGACAGAAGAACTCGCGTGGCGTGCTGGCCAGCTGAGAGACCCAACGCACACCCTTTCCTCCCCCAGCGCCCGGCCAGGGGCGGCCAGGGGACCCGAGAGGGCCAGCCGCAGAGGCGGAGGAGAGAGGCTTGGCAGGTACGACCCTGACCCTCAGCTTCCTCCTGTTCTGTTCAGAACACACACCTGAGGCCAAGAGGGGCCCGGCCACCCTGCCCCATGAGAAACAAACATGAGAAATGAAGCCCCTCATGACGGACGCGGGGCTTAGAATGAAGGTGGAAGACAGCGGGACTCCGGCGGCTTGGGGCTGTTGGCTCTCAACCCTGGACCACTCCCTAGACTTCCATGGCATGAAATAAGCAAGCCCCTGTTTGCTGAAGCCACGGGCAGGCAGAGTCCTGACCGCTGTGGTCCAGTGGAGCAGACCGCCTCTGTGAGCCGAGGCGGAGCCTCGCAGGCGCCTGTGCCCTCAGCGGCTCCGTCCTGCCCGGCGCTGCGCGAGCCCCTGGACCGGAGCCCGCCAGGCTCCTCTGTCCGTGGGGTTTTCCAAGCACGAGTGCTGGAGTGGGCTGCCATCTCCTCCTCCGTGCAGGGTGCATATACGTAAAGATAAACACAGACACAGAGGAGCTTAGTACACAGATGAAGTCTTCTAAGCGTTTAAAACAAAATGAAGTCCTATCTTGTTTATTCAGTAATATGTCAGTATCACAACTATTTCCCTACATTACTATTCATCACTCTACTTAAATACATGTACTTTATATCATGTGATACACATGGAAGATACATGCAGCATATTTATACTTTAAAACCTCACACTGTGGGCACAAGGGGTTTCCCCAGACATTTCTCTGCAACGCCCATAAATCTCCAATTATTTCCAAGCTTCCTAAGTTTTTAAAAATCATAATAACATGTCTCCCTGGACAACCTCACCTCTAATTTCACACCGCCCCACCATTATGGTTACAGGGTAATTTGTTTCACCAGTGTTGATTGTGAACTCTTTGTTTAAAACTGTGTGTGATTATAAAAACAGCAATAAACTTCTCTGGGGACAACATTTTCACGCAAATATAACTTCGTGAAGATAAAGTCCTAGAGAAGGCAGGACACAAAGGATACACGTGTATCAATGGCGTAAACGGCTGACCCCAACCAACGTGGAGGGTGGGGTGCAGACCTCCGCACGGCGGAGTCTGAGTGATATCCAGTCGGTGCTCCGGACCCGCAGTCCCTCCCGATCTGCGGTTCTGCGTGCCCGCTTCAGGCCACCTGGGTGGTGTTGGGCTGCAGTATTTACTACTGAAAAACACCCGTCTGTAAGTGGACCCATGCGGCTCAAACCCACGTTAGCCAAGGGCCCACTGCAGAGCTCACTGCTGTTCGACTGGGGGGCGGGGGGTGTATATAGATGCTGATCGTGTACCTTGCCGGTTATTAGGGAGGCTGAGCCATCTTGAAACATCCTTTGTCCATCTGTGTTTTTATAAACCACCTGTTTGAACTCTGTCCATTTCTAAGAGGTGCCCACCCTTATCTCACTGATTTGTAAAAGCTTCTTTGTAAACAGGACTACTCTGTCACTGAGGCAGTGAGGTGGGCAGAATGAGGGCCCCAAACGCGTCGCCTCCCACCCCAGCACGCATGAACGTGTCACCGCACACTCTAACGGGGAAAGCCTTCTGTGTACCATCAGAAGTTAATCACCAAAGGGATGTCACCTATAAGCTTTAATTACACATAATGGCCCATCTCTGGGAACCGTGCCTCCCAGGGAATGAGCGTTAGGCTAAAATACCTTTGTTTCACTCACAGGAACCATCTCACCAGGCCCACCTGTGAATGACTGCGGGAGGCAGAAACTCACGCATCCCCTCCGGAGGCTGATGGGAACCAGGAAGTGTGCGACCTACGCCCTCCCCTTTAAGTATAAAAAGGGGCCTGAATTCTAACTCAGGCAAGGCTGGGAGTGGTGCGTACACTCACGTTCTTCTTGGTTTGCTTGACTTCCGAACAAAGTCGTCTCTCCTTCCCCAACCGCTCGCTGGGGCCTGTAGTGCAGCGCACAGGACGAGCTCGGACTAACAAACCTGGGGGGACGCATCGAGGAGCCTGGCTTGCTCGTGCCCAGCCAGCCTGGCTGGGGAGCTTTCGGGTGAGGAGGGCCCTGGAAGCTGCCTGGACCACTGGTCCCGAGGATCCGCACCCCCCAATGCTCCCTGAAACAGCACCGGCCGCCCCAGCACTCGGCAGCTGGAGCAAGGAGCCAAAACTGGGGAGCCACGCGGACTCCATACACCAGGGTGAGTAGCTCCGGTGTGTACAACCGGGAACTATTTCTTCTCCGTTTGGAGCTTGTTTTTCTAGAGTAAGCCAATTTGGTTTGTAGCTGTATTTGAGTGGGGCACCCTGCTGGAGAGAGAAAAGAGGTGCTGGACTTGTACCCCATTTGTGAGCCGGCGGGTTGGTGTCTGGGATGCCACCATTTGGGTGTGCCGTTTGTGCTTTGACTGTCTTGAAAAAGAGGGAGTGTGACAACTATCCCTGGAGAAAGTCCTCTGGGGTGCATTTTGGACCAGGATCTGAGCACAGCTCTGAACCCACGGGTGAGAGGAAGGGGGCCGTGGCACCTGTCAGGATCCCCACTGGGGTCTGGGCAGGGTTACCTCGGGGCTCTGTGCACTGCGGACTGCCACTCTCGCCGCATTAATTACATCACTGACGTCTCCCGTGTTGCTGGGATATGTAAAACTCCAAGACCAAAAGAGGGTTTATTCAGGCTTCTGCTTGTTCTTTGGTTTTTTTGGTTTCCTCTTGTTCGGTACTGTTTGTCCACTTACAGCCAAATCAGTTCTGTGATACTTAACTTTTACTGATCAAGTGTGGAGAAAAGGAAGAAAACCTGTCTGTTTTTGTCCAAGAGTGAGACATTCTGAGAAGACAGAGGGTTGGTTCCTAAGGGAGGTTTTGGTTCCACTGAAAGCTAGAAATAGAAGTGTCTTTTCCATAAATACTAGTAACAGGGTTTAACTTGTAGACATGTGACCCTAGTTTGTCCCATCTGCTAGAAGCTCAATTTGAATCCACTCTTTTATAACGGATGGGTTTCACACTGCTGTACCCGATTCATAGTTAAAATTTTTGAGGTTATAGCATTTGCATGTTTGTACATGTGTTAGAGGTATGGTACCAACCAGGTTAATTTGTAAAAGAACTATTTAATTGGCTTAAAGGAAATTTAATTGCTTACATGAATACTCAAATATAAAAACTGGCCAGAATGAGTTTCAGGTTCACATGATCTAGGAAATACTCAGTACTGAATTAGTATCTGGTGTGAAAGTTTTGCTTAAGCTTGCTGGTTTGATACAGATGTCTTTAGAGTCATCAACACCAAGTATAATACTTTTACTATACCTAGGTTTATTAGACAATAATACCTCATTCCTGTTACAAAGACTGTCATCAAGAAAAATAACAATGTGACAAAGCTGTTAAGTCAACAAAGGTAAATGAAGCCAAGGGCTTTGGAGTAAACCCTATGGGAATGATGTTTTGGGAATGGCGAACTAGATGATCCAGACTTTCACAACTTAGAAGGAAGACTGAACTTAAAATCTTAAAGGTAAAGTGGCACAAAACCTGAATTTTTGGTTCTCTAAGAGGACAATGTTTTCTTAAAATATTGAACTGCTTTGGATAACTGTTTCTCTAAGTGAGCTCTATGTGCCATTGATCTCTTATCACGGGTTAAAATTTTTTTATATTTTTTTACAAACTTCCCAAAGATCAAGTTCCAAGTAGGGTTCATCTGACCTCTAGTTAACTTTTGCCAGAGGGTCCCTGGAACACCTCAAATTATTTGTTTTCTCTCCATCTCAGAGGAATATTAACTACTTGGGCTTCCTGGGTGTGTTTGAATTGCAGGGGAGGCACTGTCAGATGAGTGGTGATGAGACATCCTTAGAATGTATCACATGGGTAAACGTTATTTAAATACACATTCTAGAAATTATATGGAACTCCTAAAATCCTGGCAAATCATATCAGTCATAATCTTAGTAATTATCTTGGTTGTCTGTCACAGGAGTAATCAAGTTTCTGTTCACTGTTATCTGTGGTTTTACAGTGGCTTCTGATTGAGTCGATGTTGTTCTATGAAAAAGCAGGGAAGAATAATGACCGTTAAGTGCAAGCCATTTGTGCTATTACATCAGGGAAAATAGAAGGAAGGGAATGAGTGAGGGCCTGGTGCTTCAAACCGTAACTCCTCTGGCTGACCAGATGTCCCAGCCGCTCTGGCTGTTATGCCAATATACCTGCCCTTCCCATCCCTTCCGTTTCTACCAAGCCCCAGTTCCTGATACAGGGGCCCAGGACTCCTTGCGCCCCATAAGAACCAGTTAGAAAATCCTGTGTTAGTTTCTAGGGAATAAGGACTTGGTGGAGTATCGCCATCTAAGAACCAACAGGGCATCTAATTTGAGCCAGGAGTCACTTCCGAGTCAGGGCGATTCCCTTACATCATTACCTCGTAGGGGCTTAAATGCAAACCACCAGCGGGCTGGCTTTCTCAGACTTCGTTAAATGGGAAGATCACAACCCTCCTTATGAGGAGGGTCCACTACACTTGAAGGCCCCTTGGCAGCAACCAGAGCTGAACCAAACTGGGGGCCAGTTAGGGAAGA